GAGATTTGCCTTCCGTGACTTGACTGAGAGGTTTTGTAGATCTGAGAGAGCTCAAAATAAACTCAAATAAAGGTCCATAAGTGGACCATGACTGAGTGACCTACCATGCCAGAAACTTCCAAACACTTTGTCTTAAAAGAGAGATTATGTGAAGCACTATGTCAAGGTAATGTACCAGTTTTTTATGATTATTCTAAGAAATTCTATTGACGTACTTGACAATTTTCCATTGGCTGATGAAAAGCTATGCAGCAAATTCTATTTACACTTAAAATTAGAGCACTGTGGTGCATAACAACTCTGCCTCCAGGGTCAATTAACCTTCAGTCAGTTTAAAGGATAACCAGCTAAAATCCTTTCTCTGAACGTGTGTTTGGAAAGTGTCTCTCATCCTCATTACATCAGACAACTGTGTGACACTCTTCCTGCTGTCTTTTAATTAAAAAAAGTATGTTTTTACAAACAAAAGCAACAAAAAAAATGTTGAACTTGAGCATCAGAAGTCCAGTTACAAGGAAAACAATGTGTTTAGTGTGTTTAATCTGAGTAAAAAAAAAAGCTGTTTAATTAAAGTGAATCTATAAGTCCTGCATCATCATCTTCTTTCGGCTTTTCCCTCTTCAGCGGTCTCCACAGCGAGTCATCATCCTCCATCTCCCTCTGTCCTCTGCATCTTCTGTCCTCACTCCAACTACCTCCATGTCTTCTCTAACTACAATGCCTGGTCAAAATAAATAAATAAATTGCCACCTGGATTTAACTAAGCAAAAAGGTACAGGCCTCCTATTGAATAATTACTGCATGGGTGATGATCTTTCAGTTGGCAACAAGTTATTTAACCCCAACTGGTGCAATGAGTTGCTTCTCATTTCTCAAAACAACCATGTGGAAAGATGCATCACGTGGTCGTGGAAAAGATGTCAGTCTGTTTGGGAAGGGTCAAATCATTGGCATGCATGAAGCAGAGAAAACATCGTTGGAGATTGCAGAAACGACTAAAAATGGGTTAATAACTGTCCAATGAATTATTAAAAACTGGAAGTATAGTGGGGACCCATTGTCTTTGAGGAAAAAATGTGGCTGGAAAAAAATGTGACCTACTGTACAAGCCTGTGGGTGCAGTGCTATGATCTGGGGTTGCTGCAGTTGGTCAGGTCTGGGTTCAGCAACAGTACGTGTTCAAATAATGAGGTCAGCTGACTACCTGAATATACTGAATGACCAGGTTATTCCATCAATGGATTTTTTTCTTCCCTGATGGCACGGGCATATTCCAAGATGACTATGCCCAGATTCATTGGGCTCAAATTGTGAAAGAGTGGTTCTGGGAGCACGAGACATCATTTTCACACATGGACTGGCCACCACAGAGTCCAGACCTTAACAGCATTGAGAATCGTTGGGATGTGTTGGAGAAGGCTTTGCGCAGTGGTCAGAATCTGCCATCATCAATGCAAGATCTTGGTGAAAAATGTATGCAACACTGGATGGAAATAGATCTTGTGACATTGCAGAAGCTTCTCAAAACAATGCCACAGCGAACGCATGCCATGATCAAAGCTAAAGGCCGTCCAATGAAATATTAGTGTGTGACCTTTTTTTTGTTGGCAACATTTTTTTTTTGGTCAGGTAGTGTATCTCCTCTTTGTTTTTTGTTTTTTTTTCCTTGCAGCTGCATTTCTAACATCCTTCTACCAAAATACACACTGTCCCTCCTCTGGACATGTCCAAACTATCTCAGTTTGGTCTCTCTAACTTTATCTCCCAGTTGTTTAACCTGTGCTGTACCTCTGATGATCTCATTCCTAATCTTATCCATCCTTGTCACTCCTAAGGAGAACCTCAACCTCTTCATTTCTGCTACTTGAAGCTCTTTCTCTTGTCGTTTTGCCCATGTCTGTCTCCAGACCATACAACATAGCTGGTCTCACCACTGTCTTGTAAACTTTTCCTTTCACTTTTGCAGTCACTCTTTTTTCACAAAATAACTCCTGAAACTTTTTTCCATTCACTCCATCCTGCCTGGACTCTATTTTTTTTCTTCTTTACCACACTCCCCATTTTCCTGGACAGTTGACCTTAAGTACTTGAAGTCCTGCATTTCAAATAGTCCACTTAGTCCATCTAAGTCCTGCATCACGTCTTGATATGAGTTGCCTAAAAGTGACAGATAAAGTAGAAAAGTTCCTACGCATATTGTAAGGAAATAGGGTTGTTCAAACATAGCAGAGGCTTTTTTCCTGTCAGTTCTAATGTCAGCATCCCAAAATTGCACAGCATGGAGGGTCTTTAATTCCTCACTTGACAGCACATTCTTTCATCTGCTTTTTGCTCTTATGTTAGCCGTTATCTGTGTCGTGAGAAAAAAAAAGTAACAATACTATCTAAATGCAAGGCATGTCTCAGTTTGCATTGAAAAAATAAATGCTGCACTAAACATGGAGCAGATATTTTCCTAAGACCTTGTCAGTTAATATTTACCATAAGCACAAACTCATTTTAGTGCATCATACTCTATACACAAACACATGTTTTAGACCACACAAAAACACAAGTACACAAACACACATTCCCAAACTGAATATGGAGATGTAAAGCCTCTGTTGGGTCTGGCTATTTTCAGACGCGAAGGCCAGGGTGTGATCAAAGGTCGTTGCAATGGAGGAAAAATAAAACTGTGAATGACAAATCTTAAAAAAAAAAAAAAAGTCAGAAGAACCATAAACTAAATAAAGAATGACGTCTTGAAGCTTTAGGTTTTGTGGATTATGAGAATAGTGGAAGGTGTGGCCACACTAAATCAAACCTAAAGTTTGTTTTTCACTAACTTTCAAAGGAAAAAAAAATGGCAAACATATTAATAAATTGTTAATAAAAACTGAAATAATGCACAGGGAAAGATGTTTAAAATGCAATATGTCCAACCTATGTTTTTACGTAATAAAAAGCATAGTGTAGATTTATTGAAAACACAATAATGATGATATAAATTTAATAAATGTCAGAACATAATGTGTTGTTTTTTTATGTAAAGAAGAAAACAGCATCAAAATATATTGTGATAAATACAAACATAAATAAATGTTTTAATCACTTTACATTGCACCAACCTTTTGAACCTGGGACATGGTTGACACAAGTTTAAAGACACACAATGCAAGGGTTGTTTCTTGCATCTGAAAGTAGCAGAGCCTACAGTCAGTTTGTTGTAAGATGGTGCTAATGCAAGCTGCAGAGCTTCCAGCACAATGTAAAACACTGCTACATAAACTGCTCCAAACGAGCTGCACCTTCTCACAATGCTTTAACTGATGGATTCCTGTTAGCGTCTCTTGGCTTATTCACAATCAAGTTTACTTAGAAAGAACAGAGCTCATTTTGACAGCAACAGCAGTCTGAGAGCTTCGACATGATCCAACAGTGTCCTTTAAAGTGTCTTTGCTGAGAGAGCCACCAGTACATGGTGGAGGATTTTAGCAAACAAAACCTATTTTCTTTTTTAAAATGTTCACGACAAATGCAGATGCATTTCTGAACATTCTTTTCTAATATTGTGTGAACGCTTATGAAGCACTATTGTGATCCATTTTTCTTCCGTACGTTTGTCAGTGAAATTCTCGTCCTGCAGTTTTCAAGTTAATTCAACAAATCATATATCAAAACATTTAGCTCTTTCAGGACAATCCTGCTATGACTAATGGTATTGGTGCAACTTTAGCTTTTTGAAATATTTAGCCTTTTCTGTCATTGTTATTCTCAGAATATGAATTGAGCTCATTTTACATCCTTAAAATCTTTAGATCTATTTACAAACTTTTACTGCTCCTTTTACATTTTGTTCTGGTTCAGCTTCTTTCATCTTTCTTGTGCAAATGTAAACATGTTTTTCAGCTATTTTCAGCTGTTTTGTGCTCCTTTCAGATTCTTTCTGCTAACGACAACATTTGTGTGCTTCTTCTAACTTCTTTCTGCTAATGTTAGCTTGTTATGCTCCTTTCAGCTTATTTCTGCAAGTTTCAACTTTTTCTGCTATTTCAGCTACTATTTAGCTGTTTTTTATGCAAATTTGAGCTTTTTCAGATAATTCCACATTTTTTACACAAATTTCAACTTTTAGCCTAATTCAGCAAAAATGTGCTCTCTCCACTTACTTCTGGTAATTTAAGCTTATTTCTGCTTTGTTAGCTACTTTTCAGCTGTTTTTGTTTTGTGTGTGGTTGTTTTTTGCTAAATTCTGCTTTTTTCAGATACGTTCCACTTTTTTTGTGCTCATTTCTACTTCTGTCAGCCTAGTTGAGCAAACATGTTATTTCTGCTTTCTCCTGCTAATTTAAGCTTGCTCTTCTTTTCAGCTACATTTTAAGAAAATAATTAGCTCATTTAATCTGTTTTTAGATTAATTCAATTTTTTTGTGATAATCTCTGCTACTTTCAGCCTACTTCTTTCTGCTAATTTCAGCTTGTTTATGCTCCTTTCATCTTTGTTCTGCTAGATTCAGCTTTTTCTGCTATTTCGTCTGCTATTTAGCTGTTTTAATGCAAATTTTTGCTTTTCCAGCTATCTCCACATTTTTGAGCAAATTTTACCTCTTTTCACTTCCTCCTGGTAGGTTAAGCTTCTTTCTGCCTTTTCAGCTGTTTTTTTCTTTCTTATTTCAGCTGTTTTTCAGCTGATTCACTAATTTGTGTGCTAATTTCTGCTAATTTAAACCTAATACAGCAGCAATGTGTTATTTCTGTTTTCTTCTGCTAATTTAGGCTTGTTCTTTCATTTCAGCTACATTTCTGTTTACAATACTTCACAGGGTCTGCTCTCGAGACGTAGAACGTGAGTTTGTATTTTATGTTGCTAACTTGCATTAGCACATGCTTGCCTTGTGTTAACTATGTATCAGGCCTCAGTCCACTTACCCCAGAGAGACAGGATGGCATGCACTCATTGAGAGGGAGGACATGGTATGAAGGTTTGGGGATGGGAGTTGGGGAAGACAAGCACACACCTTCAGTGTGGGACACAGGCAAAGAGATCTCCATGCAAGCAGCAGACTGGGCCTTGCGGAAGGGTGGTCGGCCAGGGCCTCTGCGGGTAAGCCGTGGCCCCTCGGGACCCATTGGAACACGAGGTTTCCCCGCCGTGCAGGGCTGGGAGGTGGGGCTAGTGCAATGTCCATTGACATGATCTGTAACAACGGCAAAGCATTAGCAAACAAAGGAAGGAGGGAAATGATTAATTTCTTAACCATATTGTTATCCACAACTGCAACATCCATCTTCACGAGTCAAAAACATAACAAAATAAAATCAAATTTGATTGTTTGAAAATACCACTTATAATCATTTTATCATACTTTTTAGCAAGCAAAGCAAACTACTTATTTATTTGCTTGCTGGGAGACCAAATATTTGTTTAGAACATAAAACTGTGTCAAATATACTATAAACCAATGAAGATAGAGATTGTTGCAGCGTATGAACTGCAAAAAGTCTGAGTGTTAAGTAGGAAAATGATGTGTGAGGGATAGGGGGAGAGTGCGTGACGAAGGGTTGGAGTGGTTCGAAGTATGTGCAAGGAGAAGGAAGAGATGCTGTGGTCAAAGAAAGAAAACGGAAAATGCAGAGTGGAAATGTTTGAGTGCAGCTTCATCCAGTCTGTGCCAGGAAAGAGATATGAACAAGGCAGTTTTGTTTCATCTCCACTTTGTGCTTGTTTTTTTTTTTTATCTTTGCTGAAAAACTGTCTCTAGCAGAAGCTATTTACTGCTTTTCTTGTTTTTCTTTTTTTTTTTCTAGCCACAAGCCATATGGCATTACTCACAAAGCATATATCGAAGATCAAAACAAGAAAAACAAATAAGGAAACAAAAAAATCTACTAAATCTACTTGTATAATTCAAATTCCTTAAGTTGTTTGGGCTACAGAGTCACAGATGGGGCTGACATGAAAACACTTGTTACCCTCTGGAATAGTGGCTTTGCTCGGCTTCCCGGAGGGACTGCATTTGTTGGAGGCTTTGTCCTCCGCTAATGTGCAGTGCTTGTGGGACTGAGTGTGTGAAAGTAATATAATTTGTTTAGAACTAAACCATATTAACGAGACAAAGAAAACAGAAGGCTGCTTTATTTTTTGCTACCTACAGTTTAACAAATAAGCTGCCAAGTCAACCCTAATTAATAGCCTCACGATACCCACATTTCAGTGCTCTTGATTCTCTCTTGTCTTCAGCGATGAGTAAATAAAACATTGTCCTTTTTATAATGACATCCTTGTGGCAGTAAAGATCAAGGTTAAAATGATTTGTGGTTGACAGGAAGGTCTGATGGAATTGCTTTCCTTTATCCCCCACCCCCCCTCTTTTCCTCTTTGATATCCTTGAAGCCAGACATTTACGAAGCATGAGGACAGACAGCATTATGCTAATTGGTAAAAGAAAGAACATGGTGTCCCCTACCCCCTTTTCTCTTGTCTCTTTTTTCAAAACTAGCTTCCTGTTTAACTGTTTTCTTAAAATATATATATTCCATTTCAAAGTGAAGATGAAAAACTCTGGTGTGCCAACCAACCTATGTGCAACACTCACCCAGTTTCATGGCAAGACAGACCAAGGGAGTCCAGGAGGTCGTCCCTACACGCAACACTGGACTTATAGAGAGCCAGCTGCTGTGCATCTGATTTGATCATTTTAATTTTAAGCTTTTATCCAGTAGATCACTTATTTGCCCCAAAAATGGTATTTATCATAAGTACAACACTGTACTCTGACATAAACCCTGCATTTAGCTCATTCAAACACAGCCAGCACAGATTAACACACATACTTATCTATCACAACTTCACATATTCATACATATATGAAAAAAAATAGACACACACGCACACAAACGCAAATAAGTAAGATTTCCCATGAAAGACTTCTCCATCATTTTGTTTATCATAACCCACAGCTGCTTTTTTAATCACCTAATTTGTATTTTACCCCTTTTCATGCCAGCATTCATGGTTCAGGGTCATTTATGGACCTTAAAGGAAATTTAATGAGGTTATAATGGGTCCTCATTAGAGAAACAACCACAAATGCGTAAATTTATTCCCCAGTTTGGGCTAAAGTTGTCCCTCTTACCATTGCTGAGCGTTTCTGTACCTGTTATAAATAAAGAAATAAAGAAATAAACTGTGTACATCAGCATAGTTACAGAAATAAGCGGGCACAGGCACATTTTATGTTAATATGAGCAGACGTTTTTGGAGCGGACAGCGCATGTGACACTGTAGAAGGATAGCAAAGGGAAACCTGAGAACATGATAAGTAGCAGTTAGAGGAACACATGCGAGGCGGGCGTGTAGTATCTGTAATGCAGATGGTCCAGTCAAAATGGAAGAAGGACTGTTAGAGAGAGAAATGGTCCAGTTACAATGAGAGAGGCAGCCAGTGATCCGTTACTGTGGAGCAAGACTGTCAATGGAGGAGGGATTACGCAAAATCAGAAGATGGTCCAACCATGATAAAGCGATAGAAAGATTTAAATTTAAATATGGATATGAGTTACAAATCACCTTTTAAAACACTTGCAAAATGTAGAGGAAGAAGAAACAGACACAGCAGGTTCAAATCAAATTAAAATATATTAAAGAAGGAAAAGTACGGACACCGGGTCAATAGTCTCATGGGCTAGTTGGACAGGAAAGAGAGTGATAAGGAAGTTGAAAACAAAAGGAACATAAAAGCTTAGAAACTGTGACAAAAGCAGAAATTAAATGACTTAAAGGGAAATCTAATGAAAACTGCTGGCTTTCGCCTACCGTACCAAGATCAGTCTTAAGATCTGTGGGCAGACTTAACTTTCTGCCGGGTCCCTTTACTGAAACAAAAGAATAGGAAACAAAGAACCAGTTATTCCCCTCAAAATGAATAAAAGAAAATAAATAAATTAAAGGGATTTTAAAATGTATTGCAATTTAGGTCAAATAATGACAAATAAAGATGCAAATAATAGTTAAAATAACTCAAATTAAATGGAAAGACTCACTTAAATGAACATCAACCAAAAGCATGCAGATTGGTGCAGTTGCACACAACAGGCACATTTTGAATTGCATGCTCCATTGCTGTCCCAGGTCAGCGTTTTCAGCTAGTTTTTAAGAGACTGATAGAAGTACTGATATCGAATATTAAAAAGACAAATCACACTCGGAGCAGGTATTTTTTTGTTATTTAATTAATTTTACTGGTTTACCTAATGACCAGCTGAAAGACAAGAGCATCTATGGATGTAAGTCTTGAGTGTGAAGGTATTTCTGAAATTTTACCTCACCAAAAGGTGGAAAGTACTCAGTAATTTATTGAGTGTGTCCTTGTTCTGCTCTTTGTATTGAAAATCAGTTTTTAGAGGCCTGGGATGTTTGACAAGGAGGCACAAATAAACGGGGTGACACCACAAGGTGCCAATACAACTATCACAGTCAGACACTGAGACAACCAAAACAGCTAAATAAAACATTTTGCAAGCATTTTGCAGTAAGTGGAGAACTGCAAGTGATGAACTTGAGATGTTACGAGTCTGTTTCCTCTCAAAAAAACAAAAAGGCAATATTTTATAGTTTTTTTTTGTTGTTGTTGTTGTTCTGAATGATTTAACTTGACATGTGGAGGAGACACGATGGCGTTCACATGATGCCTGATACATTTCATGACCACAACAAAAATGGCATGATTGTGACTGTATAGCATTCTTTAAAATTCTATTATTTTAAAGGCTTTTTCAAACTTTGAAGAAAATTAAGTCAGTAACTGAATCAACGATGATTCAATACTCAGGTTTCAATCCTTCTGCCGTCAAGCACCAGTGAGGAAATGTTCAAATCAGAAGTGGTTTGTCAAAGGAGATTATAAAAATCTGTCTTACACTTATTCTGTTTTGTTTTGACAAAATCCAGTGCAGTGCTATCATAATTTGAATGTTAAAAAAAATAAAAAAAATTCTCATGGAATTGGCTTCCTCCAACAGTCCACAAGCCCATTAAATTAATATTGGTTCTGAACTGAATGTAAAAATAAATATGTATGTATGTATATATATATATATATATATGTGTGTGTATATA